CTTGCCAGCTGCCTGTGCAGTGGACGCACAGGCGGACGGCAGGGGTGCCCTCTCCCACAGCGCCCTCCCTGAGCCCTCCTTGGGGGCAGGGTTACCTCGGTGGTGGAGCACCCCATTTCCATCCACAAGGAGGACCTGCAGAGCCACAAAGAGAGTCTGTCACTGGGCTGCCCTCACCCACAGTCTGGGGCTGTCCCGGGCAGCAGGAGGGTGCCTTGCCACTCCTGGGTCCAGCTTCATGGGAATCTCCCCTCCTCGCCTCCAGGTAGCTCTCTGGGTCTCGGTGACGAGTGGCAGTGGCCACAGCAGCCTCCCGGACCCTGGCAGAAGCAGCAGCCCCGCTTTTCTCCTGCCCTGGGGTCAAGGCACCTGCCTGGGGCATGAGGCCTGGCTCCTTATCCCGTAGCCGCTGCACCGCGTCCACCAGGAAGGGCACTTCTCGGAAGGCCAGGAAGCCCGCTACGTAGGGGGCGGTCAGGCTGACCATGCGGCTCTCCTCGTATAGCACCTGCCACCAGGCACGCAGGTCAGTGGGCAGCACGGGCCTGGGGCCCGGCCCCTCCGCCCGAGGCCCACCATTCCTGTCAGGACCGCCCCCTAGCTCCCTCCTCTGTCTCATCTATGGGGTCTAAAAGAAAAGACAGGATGATGCCTCGGGCAACTGCTGGGCAGGGCAGAGACACCTGGGCAGCACCTAGAAGGTGCTGAGTGGGACCGCTGTAGCAGGAACCCAGCCCCAGGACCCGGTCTCTACTGGGCGCTCGGCTCCCCCTGCCCCTGCCCCCTCTTGTCCCCTTTGTGGGAGCTGTCGCCTAGCCTCCCCCACTCCATGCCCATGGGAGGCTCAGAAACAAAGTGCAAGAAAGGGCTTGGACGCACGGACATGAAGGTGGCGACCGAAGGCCGGGGTGGCCACCCGAGAGGCTGCAGGAGCCAGGCAGGCGACACGGCTTCACGAAGTCTCAGGAATTCAGAGACAGGGCCAGCTCGACACCAAAGCTGGGGCCCAGGGGAGGAGAAAGGACAATGGCAGTGCCGGGCACGGCACCCGGGGTGGCAGGTGGGTTCCAAAGGGCTTTGTGTGAGCTGAGGGGCGCCTGGGGAGCGCCCGGCCCGGAGGGACAGGGCTTTTTCTCAAACTGCAGGGGCCAAGCCAGAGCAGTGCGGCACGCAGCACCCTCCTTAGGGCGTCTCGGGCAGAGAGGGCCCTTCTCAAACCAGCAGGACCCCGACGCAGGATCGGGAGAGGGCGGCCCTGCCGGCACCGGGTCAGAGCAGGCCAAGGGGCTGCGCCCCAGGCTGGTGTCCTCGCTGGAGCCTGCGGTCTGAGTGTGGAGACGCGTTCCTGACCAGGCCCCCCTCCAGCCCTCCGCCCTCAGCCTTCGCTCAGCTCCTGGTGCCGCAGGCTCAGGTCACCATTTTCACTCCCTGCCCGAAGGCAGAACAATAACCAAGTCTACCCAGGACGGCTGATGGCTGTTCGCCATGGGCTGAGGCTGGTCCTCCAACATTCTCATCAGCGATTCTACAGGAATCGAGTCATGTCTGCCACGCCCAGTGAGGGGGCCCCCAACGACAGCGAACATCTGGGAGGAGCAGCTGTGCAATGCATGTGCGGCTGGATCTGGTCGGCAACCTCCGAGAAGCTCTCCAAGTCTCAACCCACGCCGCCGCGGTGCCTCCCGAAGCTAACAGCGACTGCCGTACAACCGCTTACGGACCGAGCGTGGACGTGAGGCCGCGGAACGTGGGACACCGCACGTGAAGAGCTGTGTTCAATTCTGGGTGCTACTCATAAGATGGGCCCTGCAAGCTGAGCCCCCAGGGGCCACCAGCCAGCAAGCGGCTGGACAGCCCCGCAGCCCTTCCAGGCAGAGCAGGCAGGGGCGGGGAGCACAGCCGTTTTCAGGAGTGGAAGGGCTTGCTCTGTTCTGCTGCCTAAGGCAGAAGTCACAGACAGACTGAGCTTCCTGCGGGAGGGTTCTTAACCATGGGAGGGGCGGACAGGGATTCTCCACCCTGGCCTCGCTTCAGTCACATGGGAGCTGGTTTAGGAAAGCAGACTCTAGGCCGTGTGCGGGGGTTCCTCCCCTAGAAAGTGGCTGGAGCTCTGGAGTTGACATACACACTTTAGCAGCTTTACTGGGACAATGTGCAACTCACGGCGTGCAGCTCAGTGGTCTGGGTTTTGCCTCCTGTTGCTCTGGAAACAGTAACGGGGTGCGGGACGCACTGTAGACTGTAGACCACCTCCTTCACCCCAACTCAGCCTCATCCCCACCTGTTGTCACTGCCCGGCTACCTCACTCCATTGCCCACGGCAACCTGGGCCACTGCTGCCAAGGACCTGCCCACGGAACTCGAATTTCTACGCACACTTCTGGGTGGTGTCGAGTCTGCAGATTCTGCCAGGTATCTGGGGACCACAGGGCCAGGCTCTTCCAAGACCCTCCCCTAACCTGAGCGTCCACAGGAGGGGATGACAAATGTACCGTGGGCTAGGCCTCCCTGTGAGGCAGTCAGTGGGAGGACAGGGCTGCAGGGGAGTGGACGACGCTGTGAGGACGCTGCATGGCAGGCGCGTTGAGGAAGGCCTCCGACGTGGCCGAGGGGCCCACTCTGCAGCTGGAGAGCTGGCGGGCAGGGGCACCGCTGCTCACTGCTCATTTATTGCTCACCGCAACTCTGAGCTGGGCATGAATGCCATCGTCAGCCCGTCAGAAGACAGGAGTAGAGGCCCCAAGGGGTTAAACGGGAGTGGCAGAGCCGAGGTGTGGGCACACGTGGTCTGCTCCCGAGTGTGGGCTCTCCTCCTCTGTTCTACAGAATGGCCAGGGGACCCATGACAGCAGGGCCTCTGGATCCCTCACCACTGTGCACCCAGGGTGGGCACATGGCAGCCACCTCTGGAAAGTAACAAAATGCTTCCCACCATCGTGGCACTTATGCAGGGAGGGAAGACTACCGGGAAATGGCATTCCCAGTGGGCAAAGAGGAAGCAGAGGGTGCCCCGTGTGAATGTGCCCCTCCCCACAAATCACAGGTTACCTCTAACCACAGGGTGGGTGTTAAGAGGTAGGACGTTTGGGGAGGCGGCCCGATCACTACATGAGGACACGGAGAGAAGCTAGCGGAGTGCCACCGGAGGAGACCTCACCTGGACCTGACCTCGGACTTCCAGCCCCGGAGGTCAGAGAGAGCAGGTCTGCTGTTTAGGAGGTATCATGGCAGCCCAGTGGACTGAGTGGCAACTCTGGGCTTTGGGATGAGGGGACTTACTAGAGGAAGGCACATCTAAGCTGGGCCCTGAGTGGTGGCAAAGAGCCGGGGGAGACGATCGGGAGGAACAGGCCTGAGAAGGTCAGGCAGCAGGGACTGCACAGGGCCCCCGCCCAGGCCTGAGGACGGCTGTGGGTGCGGAAGGACAGGGCAGCTGTGAGAGCCACACACAAGGAGGCTGTCCCCATAGGGCTCCATAAAAGGGGAGCGACCCCAAACTGCCTTTCAGCTGCACACAAGGAACTCCATCTAAGGTGTGTGATGGGGCGCTTCTGAGACCCACCACGGAGCCACCAGGGCAGGAGCCTGTGCAGACCTGCTGGAGCCCTGCAGGGGCGGTGGCCGCACAGCCAGGGGCTCTGGCGACCCTGAGCGGGTAGATTCCAGCCTGTTTAAGAGGCAGAAGAAATGGAGCTGTGAGCGAGGCCGGGGGGCCCGGGAGGGTAGATTTCCAGCGTGGGCCTCCACCTGCGGTGCTCCCAGCTCTGCCGGGAAGGCCCACGAGGACAAGGGCTCGGAGGTACCGATCAGGAGCGGATTCTTAACGACAGGGCTCCCCAGGCTCTGCCTTTCCTTCCCGGCGCAGGTTTCCCAGACCGGGGTTACCTGGAGCTCGGGGTAGCTGAGCACCACCAGGGAGGCGCAGGCGCTGACGCTGTCCCCTCTGACGAAGGACAGGTCCACGCCCCCGACCCGCTGCAGCCCCGAGAAGGCGGGGTCCCGCTGCCACGCCTCCGT